CTTTGGATGGGGACAGCTCTGACAGGCAAGTCAATGAATAGTGATGCTGCCCTGTGACAGAAGCCTTCCCTCTGGACCAGACTGACGTTAGTGGAAAGACAGACTTGCAGCCGCGCAGTTCCTGAACTGCTCAAGGACAAAGATATAGTAAGATTGTACTCTTACAGAAGTATGTTTCCATCTTCCTAAAATTCAGATTTTGTTCTGTTAGTGGAAAGACAGACTTGCAGCTGTGCAGTTCCTGAACTGCCCAAGGACAAAGAGAGATATAGTAAGATCGTACTCTTACAGAAGTATGTTTCCATCTTCCTAAAATTCAGATTTTGTTCTGCAGTAACAGAAGGGAGTACTCAACATAATGGGCCTCAGAGCTATGCAGACAGTGCTGTCTTGGAAATCCCATCCAATCTTCTGCCCGAACAGGAGAGCACTGCTACCAGCACATCTCCCAGTGTCTGCACCAGCCTGATGGTGCTGCTATCACAGGCTACCAAAAATAGAGGATAGGTGAGCTGCACTCTACTGAACATCTCTATGCACAGCTTCAGCAACTGCCATTTGTTTTGACATAGACAACTTGTTCACCACTGTCTTAACAAACACTCCCTGTGCCAATTTTCTGCCCTGAGGGTTTTGGTTTTGAAAAAGTTTAATCAGATCTGCCCACCCAAATGATGCGTTCACCTTTTGAAAGGTGACCACTTATAACAAAATCAAATACAATTTTTGCCAATTACTGTTCATCAGAAAGGTGACCACTTATAACAAAATCAAATACAATTTTTGCCAATTATGTTTTCACATATATTCTTATACACTGAAAAGTAACCTAATTTTGCTTAAATCTAAAATAATTTTCTGTAACAGATCTTGAAACACAAAATTTCCTTCTAGTCAGAGCTGGCTGTTTTAGCACAGGAAGAAAAACCCATACAAATTTAACAAAACAAAAAAGAACAGCCTTTTTTTTATAAAGAAAAACCAAAGATTTTACTCACTTATTGGTCCAGAACTTTTTATACAAAGTTTTTCAAGTTCTTTTTTAAAGAACAACTTGCACAATGCTAAATACAATAAATCCCTACAGAACAAGTTGTATACATACAAAAAGCAGAGCATGTAAAAATCCATAAGACTAACAAATACTGCTGAAGAGATATTATTTAGTGGATCAAACTGTTGCAATATAAAAGTAGAACTTGATAATAAGCACCTAACCCATTTGGATAAACTCTATTCAGGAATGTGACTTAATACAAAATGATTTTTATAAATAAAACATGGGATTTAACACTTACATAATACAGTGTTTGGATTACACACATAATACAGTGTTTGGATTCTTAACCCAATCAATTGCAAGTTCTTTTTAATTGGCTGAAAACCTGTGAAATCTACCACTGCAGCTGATTAGAGATCTGTTGTCTTAATAAAAGAATTTTAACTATACCTTTTTGAGAAAGACTAGATTTTGAATTATTTACTATTATGTGTTAAAAACTTTAACATTTAGTCACTTGAAAATTAGCGGCATTCTAATTTGTAATTAAGTTATATTTCACATATAAGAAGTTAGTAATTTCAAATAACTCCATGTAACAAGGTTCAACTCTCAGTTTCATACTTTTCACCTGATACTTTTTAAAGCTTTTTGCCATTTATCACTTTAGGAACTTTTAAATGCAATTCTTTCACATGCTGTGCACAATGAAGCATTTCAAACCTATTCAGCTTGCAGGTAATAAACAGATCACCGAATTGTACTTTTCTGAACTGCTGGATTGACTTCTTGATAGTTGTCTTTGCCTTTAGTGCAAGATTCTACAGGACATAAATTTCTCATATCCCTGAGCAATTGCTGTTAGGTAATGCCACTGGACTGGCTCAACTTCAGAACTTTGTTTCACAATGTCCACAGAAAGTAAGTGACTTCCATCAATGATTGTCGTGACTTAACTGTAAATGTTTATATAGAAAAATGTTCATTTATTTTATAATTTTGCTAGAAAAGGATGTACAGCTAAACACTGCTACCATAAATAAGTTTTTATTAACAAATTAAATATTAAAATTAAGGTTTAAAAATAATTGGAAAAGACTTCTCCAGATTTCAAAGGAAACATCCCCGTAACAGCTCACACAGCCAGTGCTACATAAAGAGGGTAGCATTGATTACATGAACTCAGTTGGGAATTCTGGAAAAAATCATGGACTGGCCAGAAAGCAAAGATTTTGGAGCACTGCCAGAGAAGGAGACTTGTGCACAAGAAGCACCCACACACCTATTTAGTGACAGATCCTGCTGTGTGTCAGGAAACCATCAGAGGTGGACAACACATTGAGGCTGCTGAAGAAGGCGAGTCAGGCCATTTTGCAGAGGTGAAAGCCATCTGAACCAGCCCAAGAGATTGCTGAATGAGAAAAGTGACCTGCCTCTATCTCTATCCTGATTTCTGGATGGTGGCTAATGCCCTATGGAGGTGGCTGCAAAAATGGAAGATCAATTGGCAATGCAAGGATAAACCCATCTGGTCTGGACTGCATCTGCACTGGGGCAGGACATCAATGCACAGGTCAAAAACACGAGTGGAAAGGTACATCAGGGAGATGTTCACATGCCCAAAAACCACTCCACTGAAGAACAGGTAGATAAGGCTGCCAAAACAAAATTAACTTAGGTACACTTGGACTGGGAATGGAAGGGTAAGCTATTTATAACCTGATTGGGACATGAAACATCAGCTGCAACACACAGATGGGCTCATCAGTGAGGGATTGACCTGACCTTGGAGACCATTGCACAGACCATTCATGAATGAGAAGCACGTTCTGCAATCAACCAAGCCACTGAAGTAAACTTCCCCTGGACTAGAGGGCAGTGGCTGGGTTTCCAGTATGGTGAGGCCTGGCAAACTGGATCACTGTCATGAACATGCCAAATATGTAGAATATACCATGGTAGAGGTAACAACTGGCTGGCTGGCAACAAACCCTGTAAACCACTACCCAAGACACCATCTCAGGTCTTGAGAGACACATTTTGTGGCAACAGGGTACCCCAGAGAGAATCGTATCAGACGATGGGACTACTTTTCAAAACAACCTACTAAACTCTTGGGCAAAAATAAATGGCATTGAGTGGGCATCACATCCCTTATCACCCATAAGCCTCTGGAAAGATTGTGTAGTATAATGGACTGCTGGAGACTGTGTTAAGGGTTAGGTCATGGGGCATGGAAGGATTGGGATGTAAATTTAACAGAAGCCACTTGGCTGGTTAACACCAGATTTGCAAACCTCCCTGGTCCTGCCCAAACAAAACCCCTACACACTGGGGAAGGAGATAAGGTCCCCATACTATACATAGGAAGTGGCTTGGAAAATCGGGTGGATTTCTCTCCCTATAGGAAAAGGCACACCTGTTTATGGGACTGTCTTTGCTCAAATACCTTGGTGGGTAATGCAGAAGGATGGGGAGACCTGGTGTGTGCTCCAAGGAGCTCTAACCTTGGGGGTAAAATAATTTGTGGTGTAAGTTGTATGTTGCAAAAGTAAAGCAGCTAAAATGACATGAACTGAGGAAGCATGAATTTTGTGAGGAGTAAGCAGAATGGGAGGCACAGGGCCAACACTGGTGTGCAGTAATTAAGTGTGCTGCTTCTCCTGTCCTGAGCACCCATCTCGATGGAATCTAACCCAACTCATGGCCTGACTTTGGACATCTCAAAGGGTGGAGGATGCTCTTGAGATGGAAAAATAATACCTATCTGTGAAAGGACAGAGGATAGCAGTTAATGAAAATTTATAAATCTGTATGTCCAGCCAAACTCAACTCATCACAGTCTGTCTGCTCTGGTGAAAATCCCAACTGGTGGACTGCATCCAGCTCTGCAACCCTCGACAGAGGAAGGACATCCACCTGTTACAGCCAATCCAGAGATGGGTCACAAGCTGATTAGAGGGATGGAAGACCTCTCCTGTGAGGAAAGGCTGAGAGAATTGGGATTGTTCAGCTGGGAAAAGAGGTGGCTTCATAGTGACCTAATTGCAGCCTTCCTTTACTTAAAGGGAGCCTATAGGAAAGATGGAAGAGGGACTTTTTACAAGGGCATGTAGGGACAGACTAAGGGGGAATGGGTTCACACTGAGAGTAATTTAGATTAGAAATTAGGAAGAAATTCTTTACTGTGAGGGTCGTCAGGCACTGGAACAGGTTGCTCAGAAAAGTTGGGTATGCATACCCCCTCCCTGAGAAATGTTCAAGGCCGGGGTGGACAGAGCTCTGAGTAATCTGATGTTATGAAAGGTGTCTCTGTTCACAGCAGGGGAGTTGGAACTTCATGATCGTTTAAGGTCCCTTCCAACTGTTGAGGAATACATCTGGTGCAGGTAGTTGATTTGTAAGCTGCAGTCAGAGATGCAGATTGAGATGCAAATTGAGCTCTGGGGGGGAGTGAAGACAGGAGGCAGTGAACTGCCAACTCTCCATATAACAAAAGGCATGAAGGTGAGCGGCTAGTCAGGCGAATGGACACAGGGACATGGCAAGAATGGAAGACTCAGTAGGGAAGACTCAAGAGGAAGAGCCTTAGACTGTGATGGTATAAAAGCTCAGGAGTTCCTTTGTCTGAGATCCCTCCTCAGAGGCACCAGCCCAGGCTGCCTTTGTGTTATTACACTGTTAATAAATTGCTTTATGGAACAAGGTTCCTTAGAGACTTGGCATCAATCCAGTAAGGAAACCTGGTCTGACTGCAAGCCAGGTGTGCAAGGGAGTCAAGTGGGGCATCTCTCAGATCACTGGAGCTACCCACAGTGAAGGAGCTTTGGTCCCAGAAGTTGAAGTCTCTAGCACTGGGAGAATGACTGTCAAGAGTCCTGTGAATTCCCAGACTGGGAAGTTTCCGTAACACAACCCAGGCCATTCTATGACTTGCTCACAAGTCTGCAGACACCCAGGCAGCTCAAAACCTCAAAAGTGCAAACAAGAAACAAATACATAACAACAGCAACTTCCATTTTTGTTTAAACACTGACATCCTTTGTATTTATACAAAATACAGATCCTGTGTCCCTCCTTCAGCACCAGACTGCAGATCATTGTTCTTTCCTCATTACCCAGGTGCTCCTTGAAACTGTTGCTGTCTTTGTTCCAAAGCTTGTTGACTTAACAGTTGCTGTTGTTTCTGTAGAAACTGCACTACTTCTGGGCTTCTGAGTAGGGACTGGAAGAGAGAGAAAGTGAACTTTACTTTACAAAACTCACATATGTTAAATAGCTACCATAGTAATATTTTTCCATTACATGAATTTGCACATTACCCACTGCTGTTGCTTAATATCATAAAAACCCTGCAAGTATAGCAAACAGGAGTAATTCATAGAACCATACTAGAACCAAAACATCTTTCAGTTGTGCTTCAGTTCTACAGCTGTGCTTCAGCTGAGCTAATTTCTACATTTCTCACTGCAGATCTCTCAAAACCAGTTTAATAAATGAATAAAATATTGTAATCCTGCATCAAAACTTATGTGCCTATCAGAGTTCATGCATCAGGACTATGCCCATAACACATTTTAGTTTTAGGCAGTCCTGTGAGGAGCAGGGAGTTGGACTCCAATGCTGCTTGTGGGTCCCTTCCAACTCAAGATACTCTATGGTTTTCACTGACTGTCCAAAATTCCCCAACATTTTAAAACAGCAGTCCATCCACAGGGAATGACTAAAAAAACTCCTCTGCATTCAATCAAAATACAAAAGTATCTAAAAGTATTTGAATTTGGCTCCTGGCTTGAATAGTTGCAGTCTGTAATCCAACTCTGGTTGTTTGCTCTCATTCCTGCATGGTGGCAGCACAAGTGATTCTAAGGTAAAATGGCAAATCAGGTTGGGACTTGATTCCTTCCAAAAATTAATACAACAAAAGGGTTATTTTTCAGCTGAATGAATTCCCTAGATGCTTGCTCATTATCCATGGTCACTTCAGTGATATAACTAAAGAGGTTCCATCCACATGGAATGACTAAAAAAACTCCTCTACATTCAATCAAAAGACAAAAGTATCTAAAAGTATTTGAATTTGACTCCTGGCTTGAATAGTTGCAGTCTGTAATCCAACTCTGGTTGTTTGCTCTCATTCCTGCATGGTGGCAGCACAAGTGATTCTAAGGTAAAATGGCAAATCAGGTTGGGACTTGATTCCTTCCAAAAATTAATACAACAAAAGGGTTATTTTTCAGCTGAATGAATTCCCTAGATGCTTGCTCATTATCCATGGTCACTTCAGTGATATAACTAAAGAGGTACTGCAACTGCAAGTCAGAGGAGAAAGAGAGAAGCAAGAACCAGATCACGGAGAATCTTAATTTCAGGAATACTGAAAGGAATCCTGAGTTCTTAAAGAGCCTTGACATAATTAGTGTAAAAGCTCTGAACTTCTATTAAAAGAGCTTCTAGTTACTGTACTTCTATAAAAAATAATGTTTCATTCATAAGATACCTTCCAAATTAAATTAAAAGCCATGCCAATAGAAACAGCCAGGAAAGAGGACAGCAAGCCAGTAAGTGGGGTGTGAAGAACAAGAGATGATATGAAAACTACTCCATAGTTCATTACTTGTTTTCCTCATAAAAACTGAAAAGCTATGAATACTCCTCTGATTTCCAAATTTCTGAACAAACACTACAGCACTATGAGGATTGTTAAATTGCGATGCATAGGTAACAGAGAGAAGACAAACAGTCCCAGCAGCTTTTACAGTCCCAAGAGCTTTTGAAGAATAGGGACTACAAAAACTTGCAACAAGTTGTAATGAAGTAAAAAGAAAGTTGTAATGAAGAAGCCAAACAAACTGCAGGTACTGAATGATTTCCCTGCTCTGGGCTTAACTTGTTAAAGGAGAAACTAGTGTTTAAAAAACTTAAGAGACGTGCCATTTATGCAGTCTGCAAATATTATAAATCACACTGTTTGCTTAGTTTGCTTTATCAACACATGTATACACAACTTTAAATTAGATATGATACAATTTCTAAAACACACCATGGTAAAGCTTACATCTAAGGTCCAGGACCTAAAGTCCATTCATTGTTCTACCTAAGACTTTGGTTTAACAAGCTAAAACCATCTCAGTTACACTGTAGGCACTACTTACCCCTAAAGAAATCACCATATCTGTTACTACCAAAACTTCAGATCATTAAATTCAGTCATCTTAGTATCCTCCTCAGAGACTGAAGCACACATCTCTGAAGCATGTTTCAAATTTGAAAATATGTACTTGCCGTGCATGCTTATTAAACTGATTTTCTTTTTTCACAGTGGTGACAGGTAAACATTGGTACATTGCCTTTACTTATCTGAATTCAAAACCTCTCAAAAACAAGACTTACCAGCCTCTTCTTATTCAATACTTGTTCTAAAAGAGTAGGTCTTGCTGGGCGATCTCCAATGGATCCTGTTCTCTGCTTTGTGACAGATACTGAACCTTCAACACTATCCTGCACATAACAAAAAACAAACAAAAAAGGGAGGTCAGACTGTGAACGCTGATACAGTCACATGCAGAAAATCCCAAGATCTGCCTCCTCAACCTGCAGAGCAAAGTAACAGCACAGGAATGGAAATCTATCTGTTCAAGACTTGGCCTCTTCTTTCCACCTCCTTTTACTATTTCACCAGCAAGTGTGAAGCAACGCAGCTGAGTTAGTCTTCTATACTGCAAAACTGGACAGGTTACTAGGGCTGGTTAATGGCTTCAATTTATTGGATTGCATTTCTTAAAAATGAAGTAATTCACAACAGGTCAGCCTCCAGCTTGTGGAAATGAATGATATTTATTGTTAGTAAGTGGGCAGGAATGACAATAATCCTTGTAGTACCAAAACCAAAACATACTTCAGAACAATATGATAAACTTGCCAAAGCCACAGGCTTTTTTTTTCCCCCCCAAGTTTATTCTGTTCCCTGTACAATCACCAGTCACCTGAATCAGACATACTAGTACAACGTGGCTCTACAATCTCCTCTAAAGAAAATACAAAAGGTGTTCAATCCTATGTGTATAACATTCAAAACTTACTGATACTTCCATCTACCTGAAAGGGTTCAAAAGCAGGAACAACAAAAAACTATACCAGTATCTTCCACTTCTATCCTGTCCACAGATGTGAAAAATGAAACTTCTACTAGGAACTTTTACTGAAAAAGGCCTCAATAAACACCAAAGCAAAAAAAGTAAGTAAATTTAGGACTAAATACCCTGCTTCTCTCTGCAAGTTCAGAACCTGATTTCCTAATTTTCAAAGCAACCTGCACTCGAACAAACTGGGAAAAGAAAACCCACCCTCTTACAACGTGCAATAATCACTATTTCATGCTACAGATCAAAAAGTTTCAATTCATCACCACATGAAACACAGCATTTTTACCCTTCTCCCATAGCGTCCCCTTTCCTAAACTAACACAAGTATTTGTGTAGACACATCTTGAATTGAGCAAGATGAACTCTCAGGGAAGGAAAAGAGAAGAGGGAAAGTCATGCTGGTATATAAATCTAGAATTCATTCTCCTCTTGAATAACGTGTGCAGCTTCTCTTATCTCATTAAAATGAGAAGTAGCTACTAGAATTGGCTCACAAAACAGCATGGATGACAGAAGTGTATAACTTTTTCACTGGAAGCAAGCATGCCTTTTCAATGTGACAAGGAAAAAACTTAGAGTAAGTATCACAAACACAAGAGGAACTGTTCTAATGTAAACACTACCTGTCAAATTAGGTTGACACCAACAAGATTCAAAAACACGTGAGTATTCACACCAGGTACCAGACCTGAAAAAACCACCAGAATGTAACAGAGGCTCAGAGCTTACAAGGGTTCAACAAAAATCCAAAACACTATACGGAACACATATCACTTATAGTAGAATACACCAGGAAAGCCTCAGCAAGTCCTTTGAACTGAAACAGAAGATGAGAGAATATTCCCTAGCAGCATCACATACACCTCCCATTTTTAAAGCACCTGCCTCATGGCTTTTACAGACATACAGAAGAAGATCCTTTCATGTGACACCCAGTATGGTTACTATATATTTACATGAAGAAAAAGACAGAAACAGGAAAAAATTTAGGTGGTCAGTTTGCAGTTAGATCCCAGCAACACGACTCCAGACACAGCAGGCGTGCCAGGTAAGACTTTGATTTGGGTGGTCAGTTTGCAGTTAGATCAGTTCCCAGCAACACGACTCCAGACACAGCAGGAGTGCCAGGTAAGATTTTTTTTTTCTTCTGACAATCACTATTTTCCACCTACCCCTTTGAGCACAAACAACTCAGCACCTTCAAGTGCAAAAATACTTCCCTTTTTCTGTTTCATCTAAACACAAGATCTGAAACACTAACTCTGTACAACTGACCATCACAGAAGTTTATGGTGCTAGCTGAGTCACAAACTGTAGGAAAGAGTATTTAAAAAATTGAACATTACCATCAGTTTTCCCACTGGTAGCATTTCCCCATCTAAACAATACACATTAGATTATACACGTATGAACAAGCAGTGGTCGAAATATTTACCTACCATTTAATACAAAAGTGAAAACCAAAAAGCATCCTGAAGAACCTGCACAACTGAGATTTGTACACCTGATACCCAACAGCCTTTGTGACTTTAAAACCCCACACTTCAGCACCAGCTGAGAAACAAGTCTTAACATCTCTCTTAGATCTATACTTTCCTACCACGGGAAAAAAACCCACGCTGCAAGGGAAGCATCTTCTAGCGATATTTATTTTCTTGGAATCTGGTATAGTTCCAAGTTTCTATAATTTTACGTCAGGACTGAAAAGAAACGGAGCTCGCCCTGGTAAACAGGAGGAAGAGCGAGCTGTAGGACGGCCCTAAACTTCTTCCCTTTCCTCTGGCCGTCTCACAGATCCCTACAGACCCCGAGGAATGCCCAACTCCGAGGGACCACGGGGCACCCGAGGGTGGCGCGGCCGCCCCCCGCCTCACCTCGGCCCGCGGGCCGCCCCCCGCGGCCGCCGCCGCGCCGCCCCCCAGCGCCTGGTCGCTCTTCTTGCGCTTGTACTTGTCCTTGTAGATCTTGTTGCGGTGCCGCTTGCACATCCAGGGCTTGCGCTGCTTCACCACCTGCGTGGTGGTCTCGCTGCAGCCCTCGTACGTGCAGCTCTTGCACTCGCCGCCCGCCGCCGCCTCGCCGCCCGCGGCCCCCGGCGCCGCCGCCTCCTCCTCCTCCAGCTCCTCCAGGCTGGCCGTGCTCTCGCCGCCCGCCGCCTCGACCTCCTCCTCCCCCACCTCGACCTCGCCGGCGGCCCCCAGCTCGTAGAACACCATCAGGCCGCCGCTAGCGGAGGGCGGCAGCTGCGGGTCAGCGCTCGGCTGCAGCACCACCCCCGCCGCCCCGGCCGCCGCCTCCTCGCCGCCGCCCGGCTGCATCACGAGCAGCGTCAGCTGCTGCTGCGGCGGCGACGAGGAGGAGGAGGAAGAGGCGGAGGAGGCGGGAGCGGCGGCGGGGCTGCCCTGCAGGGCGGCGGTGCCCGGCCCGGCCCGGCCGGTCGCTGAGCGCG